CTCTTGAAGGATTTATTGGCTCCAGTAATTTTGCTTACAAACTGACTGGAATATTTTTTTAAGTACTCTGTTTTTGCTATTAATCCCCTTATTTTTTTTCTTGACTTTGTTTTTCAGCGACATCTTAATTTGAAGGTGAACAAAAAGGAATGGATTATGGATTATCCTTTTATTCCTTGAGGGGAAATATATGTTGATGAATTGCTATTGTGTTTAAACTTGTTTTTTAAAAAATCATTTCAACTGGTCTATATTAAGGGAAGAATATTGACTGTACTGAAATAGGTTTAAATTTTACATCACTTAGACTGTTGACTGTAACCAGAAAAAGTAAAGTGGGCATACTAAGTTGCTTTCTAGTGAAATAGATGACAAAGATGAGAAATAAAGCCCATTATAGAAAAATTGGGAACTTTGTTCATGAAATTGATAGAAATAAAATTTTAAAGCCAAACAAATCAAATTCAGTGTAATTGAATTCATTCTTTGATTTGCTTACCAGAACTACTGTATTCTGAAGGATAGTTGCACATACCCTGAGCACATTAAGTTTGCAGAATAACTTTGTAGAACATATGCTAGGAATGATTTGATTCTTTGAAAGATCACTACAGCCAGGATCTGAAATTCACAAATCATACTTCTGACGTACTAAGGGCCAACCAGTTCAATTTTTTTCTTTTGGTGTTTAATTTTTTAAACTTTTAGATTTATTTGTGACTGTGGTTGGGTGGGTGGGTGCCTGTGTGTATCCCATGTCACACTTGCAGAGGTCAGAGGGAAACTTAGAGAGGTTGGTTGTCTCTCCACCATGTGGCTACTGGGGATAGAACTCAGGTCTGCAAGCATTTACCTGCTGAGCCATCTCAAGACCAGGCCCTTTTTTTGGTGTTTATTTTTTAAAGTTGAAAGTTAGATTTAGTAATCACCAGAGCCTCTACTTTAAGCTTTGATATTTCTTTAACCTAGAAAAAGTTGGTGACATGTACCAGTTTTTGAGCCCTTCAGGCATGTTATTTAAAATATGAAGACACTTTGATTTGTATCTCATATGATCTTTACAAAGCATTGCTTAAACCAGTAATGTTGCAATACATTGCAATATATCTTTATTCTAGGAACACCTGCCCCTATGTAATTTTTTTGTGTATTGCAGTTTTGGTGTGCTGAGAATGATAATGAATTAACTTCACTTTAGATGTAGAATAGGTGCCATTCAGATATGGAAGAACTCTATATACAAAGATTTCTAGGTTTTATATTCTAGTCTGAAAATTAGTAAATCGTGTGGGAGACATGATACAAATTTTTTTTAAATAATTTATTTAACTTTATTTTATGTGCATTGGTGTGAAGGTGTTAGATCCCCCAGATCTGGAGTTACAGATGTTTGTCGCTGCCATGTGGGTCCTGGGAATTGAACCCAGCTCCTCTGCAAGAGCAGCCAGTCCTCTTTAACTGCTGAGTCATCTCTCTAGCCCGATACAAAACTTTTTATTTCAAATTATAATGGCTAATACTAATTCAATATTATGTGTAATTATGCAAATTCATAAATATATTGTCATATTATACTTAAGCATCTTAATTTTAAGCTTGGCATCTGAGAAAAGACTCCCATTAACAGAGTATTGTTACCATAGGTAGTAGTTAATTAATATACAATGTACAGTACAGTCAAGATGTTTTTAATGCCAAGCATGGGGGCTCACACCTGTAATCCCAGCACCTAGGAGGCAGAGACTGAGGGATCTCTTAAGTTCCATGCCAGCCAGGGATACATAATGAGAACCTATCTTAAAAAAAAAAAAAAAAAAAAAAAAAGGTTTTCTTGAAGTCATTAGTGCCCAGCATGTCATTTTTAGATACATTGACTGGTAGCAATCAATGTTATATCACAAATGAACTTTCACAAGCTTTAGAAATTTATAAGCCTGCATAAAATGCAAATAAACTCACATTCATGGTTTGCTCTGAAAGCAGCAAACTTTGAGTAGGGATGTTAATTTAAATGTTGAAAAAAATGAATGATATAAATTACCACATTTTATCCTCCCACATCTACATACCTTTTTAAGATTTAGTGTCTTTGTGAAAGCAACACCCCACCTTGGAAATATGCATTTTCCATTTCCATACTCACATATTCTGATAACCTCAACCTTTTAATTATGTGCAAAATCTAACAGTGTAGTACTTGGGAGTTCAGATTCTGGCCCACTCTAGGAGATGATTGTGGTCATGGTTATGGTAATAGTTACCAGGTGTGGAGTCCTAAGCACTGCTTTGCCTCCATTAACTTTCTCCCACTGTTCTCGTTTACATTAGGATGTAGATATATAGGGAGATGAGATAATTACTAATGCTTGTCAGGGTGCTGAAAGTTTTGGATCTGGGATTTGAAATCAGACTTTTGACAATGAAATGATGAAATATAGCTTGAAGAAGTTACATGTATTCTATTTCCTGGCCACTTTTCAATTTCATTATCTTTGCTCATAGTTGTTATTATGACATTGCCTTAGCATCTCATAACTACAGTTGCTCTACAATGAATTTTAACTGTGGACACAAAGATGTCATAAATCTCCAGTTTATATATCAGTTTTCTTTTTTATTAATCATTCTAGTTTGAGATATCGTGAACTTTTTCCTATAAATTCTTATTAAGGAAAGATGAAGTTACAAGTCTTTGACCCTGCTGTGACATTTGTTTTTTGTTTTTTGTTTTTTTTTTTTTTTTACTTACTCAAGAAACTCACTAAACTCGAAAAGTATGTAACTTATATGAACAGCATATAAACTTCAGGAAAACAAGTCAGTGGATACGGTTTTCTTTGTGCTTAGGTTGTCTTTGGTCAGAGTGAATCATATTTTCCTTAGAATTTGTGGAAGAACTGTTGTTAAGCTTTATTGTTCGTTCCTTTACATTGCTAGTGCCTACATGTAAAGGGAGGGAATAAAAACTCAATGTATATATGAAGGCTTGAGTTTGAATCATATATTTTATATGCCCCTGTACCGTCTCTAGGAGGGATGTTTTAAAATACTATTAAGCTTTCTCTGTGTTACACATTCTGTTATAGGTCTCTACTGATAATGTAACATTTAAGTGGTGGTTAGAGTACTACAAGCTTGTAAAATGACCTCTTTTGACCAGTTCTTCCCCGTTTTTAAGATAGTTTGTTATCTTTTTAAGTTACATTATTTTATATGTATGGGTGTTTTGGTAGGTGCTGGGAATTGAACCAGGATCCTCTGGAAGAGCAGCTAGTGCTCTTTGTGGAGCCATTTTTCTAACCCCTAGTATGACTTCTTCACACATCTTAAAACCTAAGATGTATTGAAGGAGTCAGGGAGAATAAAAGTTTACCCAAATAGCACTGAACTTTCTGTCTTTTGTGCTTCAGTTTAATAAAGCAGTGTTTGAATTAGATAATTCTGGCTATGATGACTTAAACTTTCTGTTTTTCCCCTGGTGAACAACCTTAGTGTGTTTGGTCACTGCTTTTTTTTTAATCACTTTTTTTCTCCAAACCCTAAAGTCTTTTGTAATTTTTTTTTCTCTTCCCAGAGTCAAAGTAGCCATATATATTTAGTAACTTTGTGGAAATATCCCTTTCTTTTTCTATCTTATCTTTAAGCCTCTATTTGACCTTTATGACTTTAGTTTACTTTTCCAAATAGCAGTCAGTGGATCCTATCATAATTATGAGTGGCTAAATCTCATCTCTCCTAAGGAAAACATTAGCACTATTAAGTGCCTGACATCGTGTGGAGAACATCAATCTTTTTTTTTTTTTAGAGGTTAATTACTTTATTATTGAATTATATAGTAAAGTCTACAGCTAATAATTAATAAATGCTTTGCATTTACATCAAGACCACATTGACTCTAGTGGAATAAAACAGACACAGACAAAAGACCAAGTACACATAAAAAAAAAGGGGGGGGGCATGTTTTACTGGGTCCTACTTTTGCTATATTGGACCACACTTTTCCTATTTGACTGACATTACATATGTTAAGTCTGATTTATCTCCCCACATTTTTAAACATTAAATGGGGCTTCTCATGATTTTTAATTATAAACAAAAGACTGAAAGCAACATGAGAAGCAATGTCTGAGAACAAAGGAACAGATGGCTATTATGTTAAGAGTGGAAAAGTTTGAGTAAAACATGGCCCCCCTGTGGCTCATCTCAAAAGAGACACTTTTACTCAGAGAGGCAAGCACTTCAGATCCAAGTCAGTTTCTCACATGCCCTGAAAGACCAGACCTTCATGTTCTGGTCTTAACGGCAAAAGTTTGCTTAAAATGTCTACGAAATATCTAAAAGCTAAATACAATAATAGAAAATTGTGTGCTGGTCTAAATACTCTTTTTCAGCTTCTTCCTTTTTAAAAATTAAAATTATCTTTACATTTTGGATGTTATTAAAAATAATTTACATTTTTAGTGTGCTTTACAGTCAGTGACTGTAAAATTGCAACTTAAAAGACTGTTTAAAATTTTTATGTTTTACTTGATTCTACTAAAATTTAAATCTACTGCAACTTTATCTAAGCCATACATGAGGTAAATTTCAGCTAAAAAAATAAGACAACCATAAGGATATTGTTAATCATTTCAAGAGTACATAAAATCATAATGCCCACCTTATTTGAAATTACAAATTAAGCATTCGCTACTGCGTATGTGATTTAAAAGCAAATGTTATACTTTTAAATCATATTACATCAGGAATTATACGGTTAAGACAAACAAAAACCCCATAAACACCCTTCCTCAACCCAAAACAAAAAATCCCTGGCAAAAAAAAATTTTTTTGGTAATAGAAGACATTGAAACATGAATCCAAATGAAACAGAGGACCAGTGTTTAGTTTCTATTGTCTAAACAAACACCCCTGCACACTTATTTACCTAAAGAATATTTTTAATAAGCTGGATTGACAAGATAAATGCTTTGCTATAAATAAAAAGTACAAGATTCCAATGACAGTCTCATAGCTAGCTAACAGTAGCCTGAAACAGGTATCTGTGTTGCCCTAAGAGATCCCTGTGGAAAACCAAGTGTACTGAAATGGTTTTAATGAAGTAGGACTTTCATGATATGATGTGAGAAGTATTTCCGGAAGTAGCATGATAGGCTTCACCAGCAATACCATCATAGCAGAGGTTCCAGAAGAGCTTACTGCTGTACCTTCCATGAACAACATACCACAGCATTACAGGAAGCACAAATGCCTGACCCTCTCTTACTGAACTTCATTCACATTTGTAACATTTTTACTCAGTAGAGAATAAGTCATAAATCTTTTCTGTAAGAATTCCAAGTATTTAATGTGTAGCTTCACATTACATCACCATGTTTTGCCTTTTTTTTCAAATACACAAAACAATGCATTTTCCCCAAAAGTGAAATAAGATGTCCACATTAAAAAAATAAAGCCTACAAAAAAGTTCCAGAGCTAAAAAAATTATTCATATGGCACAGTGTGCTCTCCAAAGTCCAAAATATTGAAATGAGGTCCATGTATGCGTCTTGTTTTCAATGCACAGTAACTTTACTGAGGTGAAATCACAATGTAGTTCTTCAGTCAACAGTGTACACAAATGTTTTTCTAGTTATTAAAAACAGGAGATCAAGGTGAATGTGCCGAAGTGCCTTCTTCAGTTGGATATTTTAGCATCTTGAAGAAAATTAGAGAAGGGATTTCCTTGGTTGGTTTCCATAGCTTGATAGACCAAAAACAAAAAAACTGCTACAACAACAAACAGCAACATTTTTATCCACATGGGAATGGAGCGTCCCTTCTTCGTCTTTTCCGTCTTGACATCTGCCAAGGGGGCATACTTGGGGACATATTTCGATGAGAACAACAACTCTTCCATCTGGAAATCACTGAGCTCTAGCGGCCGGCCTGCAGCCCCTTTGATTGGTCTGCGGCAGCTAGCGCTGATTCCTGTTGGAGTAGATGCTTCATAGGGGAACATTTCCTTGAGAATATCCCTTTCCACTTGTCTTTCCTTGAGAACATCAATCTTTAGTCATGCCCATAAGAGCTTCTGGTTTGATAGACCCATTAAAGCCTTTTTTTTTTCAAGTACAGGGGGAGAATTTAGCATTCTGAAGTACAAAGGCATTTATGTTTTTTATCTTTTATGAAAATTACATATGTGAATAATTTCATTACAACTTTAAGAGGCTACTCTGTGTCCTTATTTTACAAATGAGGAATCTCAGATTCCCAGATCGTGCAGCCATTATATGATAGAGCCAACCAAGATTTTGAGCCTGTGTTTAATTCACAACAAAACTCAACCTCTTAAGTTCTCTGATCCCAGTAATAGCCCTAACTGTCAGATGCAGTGAAGCACTCTTTGGGCATTCATCCAATCTTCCTTTGAATATATCACAGAGATCTTATCAGCCTGCAGTTTTTACAAACACCAACTTAGCATGGTAGCAAAGAATCATAGCAAAATGAAGTTATCCAAGTTGGTAGGTGAGTTGATAGCTCTCTAGAGGAACCTAGTGAATGAGTTGAGAGGCAGAGATAAAAAGCATCGTTTTAAGAAATATAATGAAAACACATAGGAATATATGAAACTTGTGGAGGGAAGGTTTGCTAAAAGACCTTAGAACTGACAGGATGTATTGTCCTAAGTATGTGTGCAGGCCAGAGTTCACTGGTGAGATTCCTTTATCTACTTAGTAATGCAGCAACCAGAAGGTATTATATGCCTTCTATATTCAGTTAATATACAAACAGTGACTAAAAATGACTGATTTTGAAACAATCATGCCAATATCCATACATAGATAAGCCTCATTAACTCAGAGGCAGTGGCCCTGTTGGGATACGATGATTACTCAAACTATTTCTGACACTTCATCTGGAATTAATTCAAGGACTGTGAAAACATTTCTTTTTTTTCCTTTCTCTCCTTTTTAGTTATACCATTTACAGCTCTCCTTTGAGAGAATGCTTCATTTTTAGGAAATGGGCAAATGTACTGAATGCATATGATTAAACTGGATAATAACTTAGGCAAGTAAGGAGAAAAAAGAATACAGTCATATAGTCGTAAGACGAAGGCTGACTTTTAAAGAGTGCTTTTATGGTTGGTTTGAAAACTTTTAACACTTGTAAATGTATTAAATAAGTAGGATTTGCTACAATAGCCAATGAGCTATCCATAGCTCTTGAACACTCAAAAATGTGGCAAGTGAATGGTTGACTTAATTTAATTGTAATCAGTTTTAATGTAAATAGCCACAGATTACTTCTGGTTGCCACAGACAGCACAGTTTTAGGCAAAGACTTTGCTTTGCAAAGGACAATTCTTCACCCAGCTGTACCAAACTTCAGTTTGTTGTCTAAAGAGTTTAACATTTTCTGTATATAATGCCCTGTAAAGAACTAGTGTTGTTGTGCTGTTGCCAAGGTGTACAAACAAACATCATACAACTTTCAACAAGGATGAGGAAGCAATTACCTTTCCTTAGTAAACGAAAGATAATGGAAGTCTTGGTTTTAGTTTGGAATCTAATGATCTCCCCCAGAAATAATATTATTAACTTGGTATTAGCTATTGTATGAGGACAAAGGATGACTGGGCATGAAATGGGTATCCTTCCCCTTCTCCATAATTTTATTCTTAATTCAAAATCAGACGCCTTTGTTGTTAAATAGGGCAAACAAACAATCTCTTACATACTAAAAGCATGCTTGCTTATGAAACAGGGTACATTCTAAAGTATGATGAGTAGTACTGAACTAGAGTTGTTAAAAAGTTCTATAGAAATTTTAGTAATTTAAATAAATCTGGGAAATAAGCAAGTTCAGATGGGTGGGAAGAAAATTTGGGTTCCTCATCATTTAAACCTGTAACTATTTGGGTATATATGGTGATATTTTATTTGTGCTTTAATGAATAAAGCTTGCCTGGAGATCAGAGGAATAGGAACAGCCATTATAAGTAAACTAAGAAGTCAGGCAATGGTAGCACACGCCTTTAATCCTATCACTTGGCAGGCAGTAATCTGTCTGGATCTTTGTGAGTTCAAGACCACACTGGAAACAGAGCCAGGTATGGTGGCACATGCCTTAAATTCCAACACTAGTTAACCATGGAGGTCTGGAGGTCTGTACAGACAGACAGGAAGTGACACAGCTGGGCAGGAAGAAGAAGTGATGTAGCTGGACAGAGAAAGCAAATCAGATGGCAGAACAGCAAGGCATATAGGCATGGGTAGACAGGAAGTAACTCGCATTTGGAAGCTGCCAAGTTGGTGAGATAAGGTTAGCTGTGGCTTTCCCTATTTCCCTGATCTCTCTCTCTCAGGCTTTCACCCCTATATCTGGCTCCGTGTTTTTTATTTAATAAGACCATTTTAGAAATTCATCTACATATGTAATATATGTATGTATATAAGTGTGTGTGTGTGTGTGTGTGTGTGTGTGTGTGTGTGTGTGTGTGTGTGTGTGTGTGTGTCCTTATATATTGTTGTGCTTGTTTCCTGCAGCTTTTGGACTCATATTCCATGTTCCTTTAATTTCCAACTGTCTGGAGTCTCCATTGTATTTTTGGCTTCATATTATTCAGGGGCTCCCCATAGGGATTTTATCCCTCATATACATATTGCTTGCTTGGCTTCCAATATTTCTTTTGCAGTTTGGGTTGAAATTTCCATAAAAGCAGGTGAATCACCAAGGTGTGCCGCCAAGGCCATATTGGTGAAATGAATCCTGGGGAATTAACTTTGTCTGTCACCCAATGTGAGCAGGGTTCCTTAGTGCTGCTGTCTTCTCAAATGAACATTTATTGCTTGCCTTGTAGATATCTATCCTACCCTCATACATATACATCATGGGTTAAAAATCCTATTATTCATTGTCTCAGCTTTCTTATTGATAACTTATTTCCAGTCTCAAGCTGCTTTTCGTTATGTACAATTTCATTCTTGCTTCTCCATTCTTCACTGTCTTTGACTAATTCTTCCTTATACTTAAGGGTCAGTAGAAACCTCACCTTTGTAGTATAACTCCCTTATCAAAGTAACAGCACTGCCAATAAAGAGATCTTGTACCCAGACTTGGAGAGGAATATCTTAGGCACCAGTCCATTTAATAGATGTTCATTGAGCGCATTCTAAGTATTTCCAAGATAATAGTCCATATACTGAATTTAACTTAGTTGTACTTTCAGTCTGATTTGAAACCCAAAAAGCAAATAGAAGATAAATAAGTGAAAAGGGGAAAATGACAATAGAGCACTTATGGAGAAGTTAAAGCTTATCTTTACTACTAGGCAAGTGGTTCTAGAACAAGTTTCTTAATTTTTAAAAATACAGCCTTAAATGTACCTCTAACTTCATACTCAACACTGAATTGTAATGCCCAGTGTAGCTATCTCTTTAAGATGCTAAACTCTAAGGCAATTTTTCTTATTTAGTGTTGTAACTATCTATATTCCTAAAACCTAATATATAGTATCTGGCAAAATAGTTACGGTAAATAAGTGACTACCAGAAACTGATTTTTCAATCAAAGATCCATTTTATTCCAATTTTTTGTTTTGTTTTGTGTTGTTTTTGTTTGTTTGTTTTTGTTTTGTTTTGTTTTTTTGCTTTTCAAGACAGAGTTTCTCTGTGTAGCTCTGGCTGTCCTGAAACTTGCTCTGTAGACCAGGCTGGCCTGGAACTCAGAAATCAGAGATCCGCCTGCCTCTGCTTCCTGAGTGCTGGAATTAAAGGCATGTGCCACCACTACCTGGGACTCATTTTATTCTTAAATATCTCTAAAATTTAACTTAAATGGTCTCCAAGCTTAAAATTTAGTTAATTTGTTGTATTTTTCTTCCAGGCATTTGTAAAAGATGTTCATGAAGATTCTATAACAGTTGCATTTGAAAACAAGTAAGTTTCTCACTATATAATCATAATGTTGAAGACTTTGAATATTTTATACCCATTCATTTTTTTTTCTCATTTTCTTAAAAATGAAGTCTGGTTTGAGTGTTTTTCCTATTACCAAACAAGAAGTTTCCAAAGAACTCAGTATTAAATCAATGGAAGGCCCTCCAAATGACTTCAGAGCTCCTTAATGTATAATGTTTATCCTTCCTTATGTTCATTTGATTGTGGAAAAAAGGCACATTCTTCTCTACTATTAGCTGAGAACTTAAATAGCTGGAATATTGGTAATTTTATTGAAAGTTGAAAATGTAGGAATTTGTGGATATTTACAACAAAAAATGGTTGAAGTTTTACAGTATTTTTTAATTATATAGTTTGTTTTGCCAGAAATTATGTTTCTACATTAGGTTATTTTTATTTTTCATAATAATGACAGGTAATCTTTATTGCTTTCTGTTTCTAGATCATAAAACAATACTTGAAGATCTAGGTATATGGGCTGTGTGAAAAAGTCAATAGTATAGATGCTATCATTTTATTGGAAAAAATCTATTCACTAAATTTGAGTGCTAATAAAGGTCTTTTTTTAGTAGTAGTCAATTGCAACACTAAAGTAAATATATATTTGGTGCTGATGCTAGGATTTTGCTAACTATAGAGAGTAACATTTAGCTTTTCCATACCATGATAATTAATAGTATATCCAAAGCAGGCTGAAAATCTGTAGATAATAAAGTAGTATAGTGATTGCTTAGAACTTATTAGGAGGTGGGAGAGAGGCTGTAACTAAAGTAAAGACTTTCTATTGTGGTGATAAAAATATTCTACAATTCACTAACAATAATTGTATTTATCTGAGAACATACTATAAACTATTGAATTGTACATTTAAATTGGTGAATTATGTGGTTTATAAATTATATCTTAGGAAATCTCCCAAAATGCAGTCTGTGACACAGAGATACTGAGCAGTAAACACAGATGCCTTGCTTCTAAAGTATTAAGAGCAGACCTGCAATTCACTGTCTAGAAAAATCTGAAATTAGACTGTAAGCACAGATACTTTTAGCAAGGAATAGGACAAAGTAATAACCTTTGAT